GAGCATACAACAATGGTGTCGGGGTGTGCATGTGCGACTCATAACGGTAATACCTCTACAAGAAAAATAATTGATGTTGGTGTTGTGTCATTATTTCGGCGGTTGCAAGTTCATAATTAGCTTGGCATTGAAAAGGACAATTGTCTTCAATACCTCGCAATATAAATTTCAACACTAAATACATCCACATGGAAAGGTGAACGCAAACGCAAGGTTCCAGTAATGTTAGCATACTTGTTTATTTTGATTATATTTATTTAAATCGGTCATTTTACTAAATTAAATGATGCAATGTGCGTTTTATCAAAAAAGCAACCGTCCCTGGTATTTTTCGAGAATGAACATAAAATCATGTTAAAATCTCTCAACGTAACATGCTCACGATCTGCATACAACTGCCACAAGCCTTGTGGAGACTACAATTATGGGTGTGTAAGTGACAGTAGTTATTTAACGGTCAAAAAGATTTGCGTATGATATTACTTGCAAAAATATAAAATATTATAATTTCAACATAAGAAGCAATTGTGGGCAGAGTTAAACCGGGTCGTGTGGATTTTGGGAAATTTCCTTGTAATGTTAAATATTATCATACTCTAACAATAATGTTCGTCCGTAATGCAAAAAAACGTACAACGTGAAATTGAGCAACATCCGAATCCGGATATTTTTTATTAACAGGGCTAATCTGATTGAAATTTATATGTTTTTTGTGAAATTTCCATCTTCCTCTAAGTTTGCTGATTTAAATATCTTCATTTTTAGTGGATTATCTATTGATCAATTTTGTCGTACTTCTATTGCTCAAAGAACGCCAGATGTTCACGTGGCTCAAGTTTAATATAATGGTATATCTTATCTTGTCCATGTTTCCCCCTACTCTTTTGTTTTATGTGTTTGTGCTACATATTCTGTGTTAATGCTACGAGTGCGATTGAGCTATTACGTAATAAATCTTCTTACATATTTGAAGATAACTCAAATGATTTTCCACACAATTTCACAAGTTAAGCTGGTACGCCATTCTAAATGGGATAATGAAGCATGGGAGAAACCAAAAAAAATACAAATTAACAAAAATGTGATCGCGAATTGTAAACATATTTAATGGTGGATTACCAACCAAATAATTTTTACAAACATTCAGATGTAAAAGTAATATTCAATTTTCCAATTTGGTAATTTTAGAAATTTTAACAATATGTTTAGAATTCATCAACGAGCATCGTTGCCGATCATTTTAAATTTATGTCATCGTAAATTAACTCAGAAATCACGCCAATGAAAAACTTAAAAATACAACACATGTATGTTCACCATAGTGAAACAAAGCATTCAAATTCTGGAGTTAACCCTCGTGTTTAGAGAAATGACAGCCCGCCCGCTGGGTAAACTGAACCGTAAAGTGTAAAGTAATCCTCTGCACCGCACAAGTCTTATATTTGAAATACCGCATAACGAATTTAAATATTCAAGATATTATTTTCTACATAACAAGTGACACTTAAAGGGACATTCAAAAACATTAAAAAGCGAAAACACGCGAACATTATTATTTTTTTAAATAATTATCTTGATGCTACTGTCAAGGCTGGAGCAAACTTTTGTCGCTCGCGGGCCAAAATTAAGGGTTGCAAGTCATTGGCGGGCGCATATATTTTTTAAAAGTTGAAAACCGAACGGATGATAATTTTTATAATAAAAATCAAGCAGTCACACATCTCTCGAAAAGAATATAGATTTATTTCCTCATTGCATTGCATCTCAAAACATTTTCATTTGAATATTTTTGGCGCCATTGAACGCATTTGCACTTAGCTGCGTTTTGATGCCATTTGTCTATTTATAATTAAATTATAAGCTCATTAAACGAGTAATTGTGAATTTTATACCTGTTAGATTATAATATAATTTAGTCTACACGTGTCTCACAATAAAATCTGATACGTAAAGTATATAATCATCAAAACAGCTGCTTTGCTACTATAATTCAGTGAAGCGTCGCGGGCCGGATTATATTACTCCGCGGGCCGGATCCGGCCCGTGGGCCGTAGTTTGCCGACCCCTGGCTTAAAATGTAGATGCTCTTCATTAGCCCCTTCCTCTTCATTTTTATTTAAGAAAATTTTCGGAGGACCAAATGTGTAAAAAACTCACACAACCGCAGTTTTAAGAAGACCATCTTAAGGTTGCTGTGTTAGCGCAAATAACATAAAACACTTCAATTCATTTACTATGGAAGAATAACTCATTGTTCTAATTTCTCCAAGGATCAGAAGCTATTAGAATCGATTACTTTTCCAGTGTACAAGTATACCAAACATTCAAAATCTTTTATTCATTGGTATAAAAGTGTGCTTTGTTTTGGGAGAAATTACAAAATGACCTATAAAAAATACTAACGAGTTACGTGAAATTCGCTTAATATCATTGGATATTTTTGTCTAGGGCTCTGTTCTGAGCAAAACTGAAAACGGGGCGTTCGTGCGTTGTAATTTGCGACGTACCAGTCAACTACTAATTACCATTTGCCTTCTTACCATCTGATTTATTCAAAGCATGACATGTTCTCTTAAAATATTTGTTTTACATCACCATAGCAATCTGTTCGAAACATATTTTGATATAAGTCCAGGTCGACCGAATCGTTCCGTAAATGACCCGATCGTTCGCGTTTGGCAAATTGAATACGCGCTACGAAGCGATTTAGTGTCCCAGCCATCATCGACGAGAAACAAGCCATCGAGTTCATTTTTCCCAATTTTGAAATAAATGTCTAATGTCTTATTGTAAAGTCAGACAGTCTCCTATAAATATCGGAACAATAGATTGATTCTTATCATAAAAATTCCATCACTTGACTTCAACCACCTGATGAGTTGCTTCAGTAAACCGCCATCAACCGCTACTGTCGATTATGTGCACAAGTTACAATTCTTCACGGTAGTCACCCTGGAAATGAACCCGAATAAACAAACAAGCCAGTCGTACGTCCATCATATTCCATAACTATAAATATAGATCAATTTTACAGTATATATGGTCGCTTTGAAATAAAAAATTAATTCATATGAACTTCAAAATGAACAATTATTCCTATACTAGTCCATACCTATTTGGCGACTCTGTGGACGATTAGAGGATGAAGAGTTTGGGTGTATCTAACTTACAAGTAACTATAAATTACAGCTGAGTATGACTATTTTTTCACTTGTAAAAATTGTACCATTGCTCTTGGGTTTGCTTTGAACGATGACGAAAAATGCATCGCATGATTACAATACAACAGTATCAATTCAAAACAAATGTAACAGTTGGATTGACAGATTTCGCTTATTTTGTGGAAAGCGTACGAAAAGTTGAAACCAGTGAAAATAATTGCGATATTGGATACTCTTGGATAAACTCAGTCTAAAACCCATGGGGCTGCGCTGCCAACTTGTTGGCGTAAGTCTTCAACTGTTGTACTATAAAAGAACTTTTCATCAATAGAAATAAAAAATTATTGTTTTGTCCCAATGAAACATGGTCTAAAGTGAAGGGCTTGAGACAAAATTCGGTTATAGCTTAATTCAGGCAATCTGTCGACGTCTCAATTTGCTAAGTCGGTCGTGTAGAACAGTTTAAGCGTTTTTTATTTTATTTTATACATGAGTAATATCAGTATTTATGTACATACCTGTGCATGTGTGTGTGTGTGTGGGGGGGGAGTGAAAGAGACGAAAGGCAGGAGAATACCCAAATCAACTGGAATCCTTGTTTAATTCTCGTGGATGAATTTTAAAGAGATTATGATATAATATTAGAGCAAATCTATTCTAAATCAACATTATTGACAAGTTTTAAAATGAACCAAATGCTTGGAATTTATTTTCAAAAATAAAATCCTGATTTCTACCTAATTTCCATTTTATGACGTCAATGGGTCAAAAATACTCGATCTCTAAATGAAACTCAAATTGTATAACAACATCCTGCATTCGACAGGTCACAATTTTATTACATTTTATATTGAATAGTTATGTAAGCGCAAAGTTAAAAATAATTATCTGACGCAAAGCACAGATTACCATATAAATACAATAAACTCAACATCAATCAACAGCCTCTCCCTTCATCACCTTGCTACTGGGTTAAGAGATCAATATCTTTATCATTTTCAATTTCTCTGGTCTAAAGTCTTCGACGTAGGTCTTGATGGTCATAGCGACGACATTCATTAGACAATGGGATGACAATGCCAACAAAACTAGAAATAACTTTGCTTAGTTAAATATTCACACCCAAGAAGCCCCACCCTGGATCAGTTGACAGATGCCCGAACCCCTATTAACGAGTAACGACCAGTTAATCCGGAGATATTGGGGAGAAATATCGTAAAAACAAGATTATGAAGCACCTAAAAAATCTTGTAACATTGACATATATTTGAATCATGATACAATCCTGAAAATGAATTTCACAAACAACGATTTTGGTTTATATGTCTTAACTTTTGCAGGTACTGAAAAACTAGACGCGGAATTGTTAGTGCAATAAGACGAATTTTTGTATGCCATCGTATGAGAACCGTTTAGTAAAATGTTGTTCAACAAATTTAGACTTAAATAAACTTTCGAAATGCCATTGACGAACGAAGTGATTATGAGGGTGTGTCATTATTATCTTTCCATTCGAAGAGAAAATTGTGTTTAGTCTATTGTTGACCATGTGGCGTCGCAATAAAGATAACAAGTTATTTGAGGTAACTTAGAATCAGTGTTTTTCAAGAACAACAAAATGTAAATTCCGCATGAGAAAAAAAACAATATTCAACTAGAGCTGCGTGCAGCTTTAACAGGCTTCCCGCGTAAAAAAAACTGAAGACGCGTTTTGCTCACTGGAGCGTGAAAGCGTGGTCAGTCATGCATAAAATTTGCAATTTATTGCTAGCTGAGAACTTCTGCACATTTGAGGTGAATTTCAAGTTTGTAGGACCAATTTGAAAAAAAAATAATAAAAATAAATAATAATAATAATAAAACACAGGAATACAATAGGTTCCCTGCTGACAAGCAGCGGGGAGCCTAATTAATGAAAAAGAGATATTAAGATAAACATTGCGAAGAAATGTAGAAATCAATACGATTTGGTAGCAGAATAATGAATCACTTCCGTTTCATTCCACTCAACAAATACGTTTTGCTTTACCTGACCGACCTGAAAAACACAAAATATTTCTCTATAATTTTCAACAATCTAAAATGACACCTATCGTGTTTATAGAAGCGGCTTCACGCTGTATTAGTAACACGAGGCAACATTAATACGCCTCAATGAAATTGCGACAACAAAATATAAATTCAGAATTTTACCCAATATGATGGAAATAAGAATAGTTTCAAAATTGGTTCGTTAATTTGGAATTCTTGACGAATATCCGCTAATATTTGAACCATTTGAGATATTCTGTTCCTGAATTACGATTTGATTTGTTCAACCACTGGTATTATATACATTCAAATGAAAATCAGAAGCATTTTATAAATATCATCAAGTTAAATGAAGATCTTAACTACCAAGTCACAATATATTAATTAAATGCTGAACCTCACTTCATATCCATAAGTGAGTATTTTTCTGAACATATATTACCAATTAGGTTGTGGGAAATATCAACCGACACAATCATAAAAAATCAACGTGACGCACTTCCTGAATCGAATGCATAATCTATGTTTGGCCTCTTTTGTTTAATTGCTTGAAGTGGAACCCAAAATGAATGCAGTCGGTCGTAACTTATTATTGAATGTACTGTGTAAGTATTTGATAATGAAAAAACTTTGTCATTATGATTCATGTTATCAGACTAAGTGTAACTTTATCAGTTTTTGCACAATTTTTGGCAATGACTTCGCACTAAAGCTGTCAAATTTAGAACTAATCAATCTAGCACATAATAACACTGGTGACTTCAGTTTAATACATTATACAAGTTAATAGGAATATGCAATGAATAATAATCATGCTTTTGTTGAGATGGAGCGAATTTTAGTATTATTAATCATTGTGTGAACTAGAAACCATTACACATGTCAGAATTGCATCAAACAAAGTTATCTAAGTAAGAATTAGGAAATAGGTTTCTAAAAATCTTTGTGAGACTTTGCCCTCACTTTTTCAGATTTTCATAACATCTAGACATGCTTGGAAATATTCAATACCCTGTATACTATTTCTTAGCATACCTATCACAACTTCCCATAAACTTACTGAAAAATAATGAATAAAGTTTAGCATAAAGTAATCGATATCAGCCCATTTTGGTAGTTAACAACAATGTGCGAATACTTGAACTATACTAAAACAAAGCGGGCTAAAATAAATTTAAATCTGAAATTTTAAAATTTATAATTTCCGCTATGGAAGTAGAGTTTGACAACACTCTCAATACAATCTATCGGCCCGATGTATTATGACGTGTTTCATACGTATAAACTCATATTAAATAATAACACTCAAATATTTTTCAAATGTAGAATTTTAAAAAATGTTAAAATTGTAACAAATTATAAATTTACGTCGAAAGGTAATATTTTTAAATACAATATGAAGCCTTTCTTTATGTACATTCTAATTCTGTTGGAGGACTGTCGGATTTTTGTGGGGTTGGAGATTGTCGTTATCAGTTAAATAATTTAATTAAAAATCTTTCTTATAGAATGATCATTTAGCATTACGGCGTCAACAACGACTTACTTCATTTTCAACCGAATCGAGTCGACGTACAATCATGATTCACTGGATAAATTTTCCACGAAGGGTGTTTCCGTGCCGATGTGATTTCCCATTGAGTTGGTGACTCTGCGATCAAGAAATCAAGTAAAAAAACAGACAATATAGTTTGATGACGTTATGTAGATTGTAGAAAACAACAGATGACTAAACCAATACACTTCATTAGTAATCATTCATCACATATTAGGTCGACGAAAACGGTCTTCAAACTTTTGCACGAAAATCATCTTCTACGACAATTTTGAAGAAAACAAAGAAGAAAATAAAGAATGCTATTTTTCTACATCAGTGCTCAAGCGGGTGTATAGTACACCCCATGATATACCAAAACCTTGAATGGTGTACCGCATCAATAGGGAGTACTGGGATGTACCGAATATTGTAAAGTATACTCTTATACCCGATACGTTAGTTTCAAATGTATTCATAGGGAATTCGGAGCTTGCCACAAATAAAGCAACGTGTGTGTTTAAACTTCTACACAACGTATGTCTAGCGATTTCCAAGATTTTGTTACCTGCTTGACATAGCGTCAGCACATCGATTCATCATTATTAACTCTGAAAATTAACTCTAAATTATTAACTGGTTTGGACAGAGAAATATTTTTTGAATTTTTCTTGCATAATATTTGTAAGAAGGGTAATTCTGTTAAAATTGTGGGAATCATTTTTGGTGAACTTTTTGAATTTCGATCAGATTGGGTACAAAAGGCAGAATTCAAAACTTAGAAAAACCACGACTACTCTTGAGTACTAAAATCTTGCACCATAAGCTGTTTCTAGTCTTGTCAAAATGTCTAAAATTTACCTTTCCCAACAAGGGTTCTTTGTTACCGTAAAAATAATATACAGGAAATTCAATTACTGAATCAGAAACACAAATGCGAGTGGCATTCGAAACCAGGTATTACCTCGATTCGTACAACTCGCTGGTGAAATCTAACAGCAACGTTCATATTGAATAAATAATGTAGTATTGTGTCGGTAGAAACATGTATATCTTGTATCATGTAAATAAAATCATTAGGTTTTTAACCGATTTAAAATTGTAGTATGGTTGGGGTGAACCAGATTTCGAGTGAAGGATAAAAAGATATTTCCATTTGGACGAAGGTTGACGGGCACTGTTCTACGTTGTTCATAAAAAAAAATAATAGTATTGTGTTTCAGTAATAACTGCATATATTTATTATATCAGACAAGATTCATAAGCTGAGTGCAATATTGCCTGGATACTTGATCCCAACATGTAGAATAAAAGAAATTCGTTTTAAAATTCTCATGGCAATATTTAGATATCATATTTACGACAATGCTAAGGAAACAGATTTTCAGAAATAACAAACTGCAGATTCAGTACGACTCACGAATGCGGTGATATTTATTATTATTATTTTTGTCTCGTTAAAAAAAGAAAATATTGTTATAAAAATGACTGATATATATTCAGTCAACACATAATTATAAGACGTAATGCATACAAGGGACATTTGACACTTTGTAACGTTTGCTTTCCTGGGAAAGCAAATAATGAAACAATGGGCATCACTTATGTCTTCATTGTTCACAGTCTTATCTTAAAATTTCGATCAAAGACAGAAGGCTTCCTTACAGAGTGTTGACATAATTGTAAACATATTAGCGAAACCCATTTGTTGGATGACTTATCACTAATAAAACTTAGTAATATTTCAAGGTTATTCAAGTCCGAAACATATTGTAAATACATTTTCCTTTTTAGGCTTGTGGTAACCACCTTATTTTAGTTCAAAGCAACACACACCTCGAATTCTACTAATAATGAAGAAGGTACACTTTTTTTAATAGCGTACTCTTGGAAACGATGGGTCGGTAGGCGACATTGATACTTTAAAAGCTCATGAAAAGTGTCTCACATACCGACTATAACAAGGGAGCCTTGTTTTGCCGATTAGCCAACCGTCGTCTGATCTTTTTTGAGCGGGAAAAGCACACACGGCTTTTGTTGATCAACGTACTGACTGGCGGCAACTACCGACTACTAAACCCTGGACCCGTATTAAGAGGTAACACTAATGCTTAGTAACGTGAAATTATTCTTGATTCTCTATCTACCAGACACACCAAACAACAAACACATTAGAATAAAAATGTGCGTCAATTTCTAAGTTTGTAATTACGTCATTATGATACCCGAAGGGGTGAGAAAACGGAAATTGATTAGCGCATTACAGGATCGTTGAACAAATGCACCATGATGTGCTAATTGAATTACAGTAAACAACAGGCTAGCGACGTATTCAACTAACTTATTCGTAATGTGAAGTTTTTACTTCGTAAACCTATGTCCTATATCGTAGTTTTCATGTCGAAAGTAGCGTTCTGTAAAAGACTTAACAATGTTGTACACAAAATAGCGGAAACTTAAACCGTTTGATCGACATGCATGTATGACTAATATAAATAATTTAGAATGATACCAGAAAAAAGAAAAAATTCGAATCTAAATCATTATTACAATAAATATATATTTTCGATAATTGAAACATAATTGCAGAATCATACATTGACTCTTTAGTTTATTAAACTCAGTTCAAGTTGTATTGTTGATGAGTCCAATATTATCAATAAGCGTGTAAATTTTAATCTATATAATAACTAAAAAATAATTGGATACAAAACATGAAATTTTTACAAATGAGAGCAAAAATAGTGGTTTTTAAAAGCAACTTATGATGACCGTTCTTCGACAAAATATATTACGCGCCATTTATTAACAGACATAGTTGTGTTCGGGGATTCCAAAATTAAAAAAAAAATGTCACAATGAATGTTTCTGTGTTAATATTATAAAGTTACTAATAACCTGATCTAATTTCATATTTCAGATCTTATTTCAGTCAGCGTGTACATCGTAATCCATCTTGTGGTATCAACGTTTACGTCATCCAACTTGATGTAGAACAATAGTCTTGTTTGCTCTTGTAATCGAGTATATTTAGCAACAACGTAGAGCACTACAAGATCTGCCATTTTAAATCCCATCTCACAAACAAACCCATCTCACAAACACACTCACGTCTCACAAACAAAATAAATAATTAAATTAGTCAGAATAAAAAAAAATCGAATAGTCGACGAAGACTATAAAACTATCGGATAGAAGAGATTTTATACACTCTCATAATATATTTTAAAATTAATTGTTCTTCGGTAAAAGGTATTGATGCCATGGGCGATATAAATGTTTTGTGATTTTTGATTGCTACTCTGGCTACTAAACAAATGTATGTATTATTCACAGGAGCTTGGTTTCGAAACAATTTAGAAAAATCTCAACGTAAGGAACAGATAAAATAGGCAAATTTGAAGTACTGAAACGTGTGAGAATTCTATGTTATTACTAATTGAGCTGAGTTCACTAACGTATATCGTTCAATAGAGTTATAAGTACACATGATCAGAAAGAACCTTAATTAAAGTTTTGATATTTAGTGATATATGTTTAAAATCACTGAGAATCATGCAGTTTCGTCGCATATGATATCTTTGAATAGAAATCAAATTTTACGACATACCAAACTATGAAATATTGCATACAGGTGACGGTTATTCACATATCGCTGTAAGATTTGTGACGTTATTGCAGTTGTTTGATTTTTAAAAGAAATAGTGGATTCCCGGGTACTCCCGATCTATGTGAACCAAGATGGCGGACACCGGAACGTAGTACGTGTACCAGGTTAGGGTTATGCCATAATTTCAGGTACAAATACTACGGGAGTCACTTGGCTAGTCTCCGAACTCGTAATAGAACTGGAATATGGAAAATTGAAATAAAATCATGGCTCAACCCTAATCTGGTACCCATACTATGTTCCGGTGTCCGTCATCTTGGTTTAGATACTTCGGGAGTACCAATTTTTGTTCTATCCTCAGTACAATTAATATTAAAATGCAACAAAATACGATTGGTTTTAGAAGATGGCTATATTTGGTTTTTACAACAATACATTTTCAATCATTCGCTAATGGGAAATGGAAACTAGGACTTTTTTAAATTTGCGTATTCCAATAGAGATTTCCACTTAGCAGAAACTAGCGAATTAGTGTCGGTTTCATCGTGACCTCAAATTTGCTTTATTACTTTACCTGTTAAAAGCGCTACTAAATGTTAATAAGTAGTCACCGTCAGATTGCTTCATCGTTGCAAGCAATTATAATTAAGTACTTCGATTTGCGAGTCCTTTAGTTTCGTAACGTTGGTTAGTTGTGTCTTTGAGACCCCGAAAGTCGGTAGATACGTTTTGAAAGGATCATCAGCAACTAGCGGAATGCAGGTAACAAAGATAGATTAGTTGCATTACATTAGTTTTAATAAGTGGGTTTATAGTCGAGAAATATAATCTCTGGACTCCACCTCTAAAAAATTGGACCTTTTTGTCATACTGCCCCGTCATCTTTTCCTTGGGGATATACAACAATGAAGAAGATGTATGCATGTTGTATTCGGTGATTTATTTGTGCGGATGCTCCCACAATTGCCCTAAATCTTGAAAGCATAAAACAAAGAGTATCAAATATGATTGAATTAGAATTGGCATATGACTCGAATTGCATAGAGATATTACAATGGACTCAAACTGTCTGACTTAATCCTTATAAAAAGATTTTAATCTTATACCATAAGCCCTCCAAATTTAAAAATATTTTTATGTCGAGTAAATCTGTAATTGCTGGCCTGTTGTTAGTTTAACCATTATTTTGTTTATTTCATATTAATTTTTGCGTGTCACTGGTTGCTGACTTTCATTCAAGATTTTCATTTTCCTTCATTTACGAACCAAACGATATACGAACCAAAATTGATATAGTGGTGTTGAAAGTGAAGCATGTTGTAACTTAATGTTGACAATTGTTTCGTTAGACTAAAATTTTATGGCAAACGTTGTCATCTGAGAACTGAAGCCTGGAAATCAATTATACTTCTTCTATGAACATGAACTGTATGAAAATAGATGAGGCTTCAATAGTGGCAATATTCTAATGCTATACAGAGTTTTTAAGTTTTGAATGAGCCTCAGTGCCCAGTACGTATTTCTTATTTTCAATTGGATGTTTGATAATTTTTCATTTGAGAAACACATTATAAAAACTATTTTGAGTTTCTTTGCGTTGTTGTTTATATATATATTGTATTGAATTAAAAGATAATCTGATAAATCTAATAAATTAAACAGTCATAAGATAAACCATCAAATTATCCGTTCATTTTGACAAAATGCAACCGAGTGTATCACAAAAGTTTCATATGTAAACAACATATTTCTCTACAGAACGATGACACAGTCATGGATCCTTCAATTTTGTAATTCTATCTTTAGCGTTCCACCTCCGACAATCCTCGCTTTGCATAATAATTTAAGAATAGACGATGTTATTGTACAATGTCTATGACGTAATGGCGATACACTATATATATATTGCGGTGTTCTCGGTATGGCAGTTACTTTTTGATAGACATGGCACACGCTTATGCTATAAAAAAGTTGTTCCAAAACGAGGTCGAAAAATCGAAAGTAGAGTAATTTCGACCGGTTTTCGGTTCGCGTCCTCCAAGATATGCTATTATTGTACGTAATCAAATATCTGTTTAGTGATTGAATTCACACGTCTGAAAAATATTGTAATTTCTCATTATCTACGCTGAATTTTATTTAATTTACTATGGTGCTATGAATGCATGGGAAGATATGATATGTCGGAGCCAAAAATGTATTTTTTTCAAATTTATCCAATTTGCATTGCGTATATAATGCGCTATTTCTGAATAGTTATTCTACTTCATGTAACAACCCTACAAACAATATTCGCTGAATCATTAGGCAGCTATATTCTTCTACGATCTTTAGACGAATCGTACATGAAAGCACGTGAAAATTTGCAGAATTAGTTTTACTAATTTGATCTAATGAATAGTTATGTTTGTGATCATTTACGATATGTCCGGTTGCACAAATGAGATAGAATTATTATATCTTAGTTTCAAAATTTGAAACCTATTTTCATTGTGATTTTTGACAATCTAATAATTGTTGTTCTATACAGTTTACAGTCTTTTTATAAATCATTTGCATTTTATAATCTACCTACGTATACATCATCGAGAAATTAAGATCAAGATTGAAGAAATATTTCAATAAAAAGACAGTATGAATAAATTAATTTGGAGTTTCATTATTCTCGTCGCCATATATCTACAAGAAGTAAGTCATTTTATATTATCCAAGGTTGTTCACAAGAATTAGTACGTGGTCCAGTATTCAGCATTGCGCTTGTAAAGCCAGGAAAGTTGGTGTCACAAATGATCATTTTTATTCATTACCGGACATTTGTGGTTACATCATTAGTGACCGCATAATTATAGGACTATACAAGTTTAATTAGGTTTTGAACACCGTTTAATTTGGTCTATTTTATCTGAGTAACAAAATTGATCTGACAAATATAAATTTGTGGATAGTCGAAAATTCGCATGACAAAGGAGATTGTTATATAAAAATTATGTCATCATCTTTTTTCACCTATACTCCGAAAATAACAAATATAATCAAAATGATTTAACCACAGATTGGAGCGATGTGTCCATATGAATGTTCTTGTGAAAACGAGCCAACAAATTGTCCAATTGGAGTCAGATTAACTATGGATGGATGCAGCTGCTGCAAAATTTGCACAAGACAACAAGGACAAACTTGCGATATTCAAAACATATGTGATTCGGAAATGGGCCTAGTTTGTGATTTTGCGTCCAATCAGGAACAAGGAATTTGCAAAGGTAATAATAGAATCTTCACTAAATAAAAAATAACTGAATATATAGAATATATATATATATATAGGAATTCAAAAAATAGAACGTATACCGTTTTAAAAAGTTCACGACATCTTTTGGTGTAATGGCCATACTTGTCAATTGAAACGATCAGAGAAATATAGAAGGAAACCTCAAATGTGGAAATATATACACTACCAAATTGTTTGTCATAAATGGAGAAAAATGATAATGTTTTCAATTTTATCTCTATAAGCAGAAATTTCTGTGTATTTGACATGACTAGCTTTATTTGTCAGATTAATACTAGAAATCTGAATCAAATAAATGCATATGATAATACTTATGACGTTCAATTTTATGAAGCACTGTTTCTTTCATCAGTCATCCGATAAGTCTTAGTAATGGTTCATGGAAACAGATATGAACAATATTTTTATCATTGCAGTTCAAGTCGGCCAAAGCTGCTCATATAATGGACGCACCTATTTAAATGGAGAAATGTTTCAACCAACATGCAAACACCAATGCTGGTGTATGGACGGAACTGTCGGATGTCTGACAATGTGCCCTCATGAAACTAGAGTACCTCAAGCAAAAGAATGTCCCAACGCACGACTTGAGGTCGCTGATAATGAGTGCTGCGAAAGATGGATGTGTGGAAAAAGTGACCACACTTGGGAGCTTCCCCTTGATAAATTTTGGGATAAATATGTCGATAAAAATACAGACACGGAAGCATCAGAAGCTGTTCTACCTGGTAACGAATTGTTACCTTCTCCTACTGATACAACTGAAAAGTCTACAGTTTCAAACAACCTGAGTGACACCGGGGACGAATCCGATTTGAATCGCAACCCATTCTACCATAGTAAATCTCAACCTTCCTCTTCTGACTATTACATGAATGCAGCTGATGATAGTGGTGGTGATGGAGACGAAATCATTGACTACCAGATGGCGCAAGTACTTCTTCAAAAAGGAGGAGTGGGACTAAGAGATTGGTTTGGTGATGACATTATGGAAGACAATATGTATGAATACGACAACTGGGCAATATCAAATGATGTTGTTGGAGATGTTGATGGTAGGCCTAATTTCATTTATTTATTGCACTTGTAATATTGTTACTTGTAATATTGCGGCCGGCGTTTATTATTTCTACCATTTAAAAAAAAAATATTCTAATTAGTTTTTGCATCTGAGAAACAACGCGAATGAGATTGTGAATTATCCAACTTGCCTAATATCGTACGTCGTGTGCCATCTTGCGGACAACAAAAATGGCCGTGGGAGTGGCCATTTGAACAACGCGCCAATATTTAGTCCTGATAGTGGATCCGAATACATATTGGCTGACATCGCCCCACTGCTACTGAGTCACGCGAGTTGTCTAAATAATACCAACGCAAAATAAAGTAGTCGTGCAATAAAATTGATTCTGATTTACCACACCTCAATTTGAAGTTTGGGCGGTATCTGTCTTGAGTATGTTTTTGTTTTGAAATCTGATATGAATGCACTTTGACGTAATACTTATCGTCATATCGTTCTTAACCTTTGACAAAGAGATGCTATGTTATAAAATAAATACCCATTAATCACACATCAAATGCTCGCTCAATTTAATATCAAAAATTCCAAATAAAAAATTTCTGCTTTATATATATGTAATAACAAGAAAAACGAAGTATCGCGCAATATATCCCATGGCCTTAGTTCCCACGGTTTTTACATGTGTCAGTAACAAATCTCGTAGCAAACCAGAAACAAATATTCAAATGAGCAAAATATTTCAAACTTGTCAAAAATCACACGTTTTGTGCCGTCGCCCCTAAAATGTTTTTGTTTTGTCTGCTGGTTTGCGGTTAGTTCCGGAATATTTCAATACCTTCAGCTTTGCAAAATTTCCTTCCGCATAGACGCTTACCAATATGTATCTCCTACTTGAAAGTTTTTTTTTTATACCTCCAACCAATGTAGGCGAGAGCATCATCCTGTTTTAAAAAGTCGAGCAAAGAAGATAAATACGGGTTTGATGTGACAATTTTCGATAATGACAGATAAACGTCAATCGACGGCATGAGCCAGATTAATTTCGAAAACTATAAAACGTTTGTTCTACATAAGAAACAAAGCGTCACAGCCTGCTTACTCGAAGAAATCTGCCAAAAAATAACTAAATAAGAAGCGATAACTTATTCTGAGGATGTCATTAAATCGAAATGATTGGAGGAACCACTGCTTAGGCAGTAGCGAATATTCTCCCAACAAAAACGATTGAAATATTCGTATGAATCATCTCACTTGGCTCTTATTTCTCTTTCTGAAGTTTTGAAAATCATAGCGAATCAATCGTCAAAAAATCCCACAAAGCCGATTAATTTATTTTGAATCGGTTGTTTGTGCGTGGTAGATTGAGAATAAATAAAATAAATATAAAGAAAAAATGTACAGTCGAAGAAAAAAGTGAAAATGTCTTTAACATAATATATAGAGTGCTGCATAGCAGTATTAAATAGTAGTCGACATTTCTTCGAATGCGACTGTCTAGGAATGTTAATCACACCAGTATTAATTTTGAGAAAATATCTGATTTCTAGTTTGTTATATTCTCATCTTTTTGTGCGTAATTTTTTAACATTATTTGCGTTTACAGGCGTTTAATTCAAAAATATTCCATATAGTATTTCATGAAATGGATGTTTCCGCGGAAAAGGGTAGAAATAAATACCTGCTCATTGCTATTATTTTGGTAACGACAACTTCGTTCACAACAGCTCGCCGAAGAAATACACAATCAAAAGCAAATTGTGCGGTTCAAACAACTAGTTGGAGTCCTTGCTCAAAGACTTGTGGTCTCGGATTAGCTACGAGGGTGACAAACAACAACCGTGAATGCAAACTGAGGAGAGAATCTAGACTCTGTAACATCCGGCCTTGTGATAACACCGATTACGTCATTCCAAAGGTAAATGCAAACTGTGACTTATTCCCCCGAATATATTTAGAGCCAAGATAATAGTCCATGCCTCACGTCCCTACCAGTTGGTAAGCTGTATCACATCAAAGAAATATTCAATTTTATGATAGTACGTGTTGTCTTTTCTGTAGCCTAAAGCTATAACCGAAATATTCTGGTTAGTTGACGAATAAAACAAAAGGGGGCCAGTTTGTGAACAACAAATTGGCCAAAAGCTAATCGACCTGCAGAGTCAATAAGTCTGAGACCTAAGAGTAAAATTTGAAGTGTTTTAATTGGACCATTTGAAATATGAAATGCAATAACTGTGTCAGCAGAAATCAAGTAGCGCCTCATTGACACTGCCGAAAGTGACAAATGAGGGTAAATGTTGGTTGTTTGCTAACTCCGATTACCGAAAAATTGAATGCCAAAATATATTGTGTTGTCAAAAAGTAAGAGAATCGTTTTTTACCGCAACGCTTTTAAACGTTTAATTGAATGACTAGTATTGCATGAACAACAATATAGATTTTCAACTTGCTAAGAATACAACATATTCCAAAATCACCTAAAGGTGAAAACATGCAGTCTAGTCCAAATTCTTTGTCATTTCCTTCGAATCCGAATATTAGAAACAGATTACGAATATCTTTCAAATTCCTCGAATACTGCTTTCAAATTCTTTATAATTTCGATCCACAAATATTGCACGATCAAATATACGCTATTTCTCGCATTTAGACCGGAAAAAAAGTTATATTTGGAACGACAAAACTTATCATGCAGAAATTTGTGTTAGATTGATGTTAAACAAATGAGTGGTTCTATAGATAAACTTTTTACCTAATAAGATTTGCTAACCACAAGAATGCGCAACATGGCAGCTATATGATAAAAGTATTTGATTTATATCTGGCATTTTGATTTGAAAAAATTGATGGCGTCGAAAGTCATTCGTGAAAGATGGTAGTTCAGTTATACATACAAGCTAGCTCAGTTATACATACAACCAAGTAGATTACATCTACGTAACAAATTTATATACACAAGTGATAACAATTGATCTTGGCTGTTTGGTTTCATACACTCCGTTTTTTAAACAGAATCCTGAATGTTACTCTTTTTTGTTTCATTTTAGGACACGTGCCAAACGCCAGTAATTCTTATATTTATCCCTCCGCAGGTTAAAGAACCTACGCGTTCTCCGTTTTACACGCTGTATGAATTAAAAATGTGGTCAAAATAGAAATGTGAATCAGGATGCCTAGCATATTGCAAACTATGTATTTGGATTAGATGGTCTAAGTAAACGTCAATAATCTTTATTTTAAAAAACATGGTTGATAAGATCTGAATTCAACTGTGTTGTGTTGCGACGGTTGGTAACATTTTTGGTTGAAAAATTCATGCCATGTCATACGGTTAAGTACGTGGGTAAACGAAATTGGAAAAATCCATTCTCCGGCATGCGTTCGAGAGGACAAATTTCCGCAGTGGCGCCTCGACTGAAAGTGTTAGGCGTCCATCACTTTTCTCAAGTATTTCTCTGACGTTAATACTAATGATTCCATACTTCAGTTTGGTTTAGTAAAATTCTATATATATTTATATTTGAAAAGTGGTCAAAATGGGCGAGTTGGCGGTAATACACTCACAAATTGGCACAATGTTGTATACAAACAGTGTAAATTTGGACATATCAATTTGAAATAAGTTTATAAACGAGCCATACCATTATCATTATTGAAAAAGGGGTATAATATAGAAAATTCCGGTGATAAAAAATATTTTTAGAAAACGGTAAAATTGGAGTTAATCGGGGTCTTACTTTCCGATATCTAACTGCTTCAGCACGTTAAAACAATATCTCTTTGTTTTCAAATTACAGAGAGGCAAGCATTGCACAAAACAGCGAAGGGAACATAAGCGAACACATTTCAAATATTCAAACTGCGTAAGCGTCCGTGCATACAGACCGCGATATTGTGGTGGATGTGATGACGGGAGGTAATTATTTTTTTAAATATTTTCCGTGTTAAACAATTGGAAATTTAAACTAGCAATAAATGACCAAAAACACGTTGGATAATTCAATTATCATTTAACAAAGTCATTGACACCTTATATATATTTCGCAGTATAAACAGTGGAAATAATTTTATCTATTAGAAATATAGACATAAAAGAATGTCATCTCAATGATTAATTTTCAGAAATTCTGTTTACTACACTTTTAAATGTCAGTTTAAAGTGGAAACGGCATTATTGAATAACAATCTAACATTTTTGAAATTCTCGCTCAAGTGTTGTAGTGTGTGGATAACGATTACCGAGATCAAATAAGCATGCATATATACACTTTTCCGAAGAGGTAAACAAGGTCATTGCCGTTCATAATGTCTGCGTTTTAGGAATTGGTTAGAAATAATAAATATTCATAGTTGTCAATTAAATTTTTTTAAGATGTTGTACCCCTCTTGCGACAAGAACGGTACGAATTCGATTCAGATGCGAAAAGGGTGAATACTTTGTCAAAAGTATGCTAATGATTCGCAGTTGCCGTTGTCATTATAACTGTTCAGCTTACACCGTTAACTCCTTTTTGGTGTCACGTGACCTTCACGACGATATGCATGTTACCAATGAACCATAGATGCCAGACGTACGACAGGATAAAGTACAGAAGCAGACAATCTCCGCTTTGGTTCATCCGTCGGTGACGTTGCTGAGCGAAAAATGCAACTATGCGATGCAAAAGAGCAATTTTCATCTATACTGGGCATTTTTCAGTTCTTATTCATACTCGAATTCACGATAAGCCTATTCATGAAACAAGTAAAATAATCTCATATGTTAAAATGATATACATTTTTGGTCATGTCGACTTCACGGATGAATATATTTCCTAACCGTCGCCGATAAAATAGAACTTTTTTACAAAATGATAAACTGAATTTATTGTACAGAATTTTACGCTGATTAAAATATATTTTGTTTATGGTGTGTAATTTGTTTACTGTTAAATGAATTATATTAATTTCATATTTATGTCACATTTGTACGTAGATATCCTTTTCTCTCTTTTACTATTTAATTATACTTTTTGATGAGCTTCACTTTATATTTATAACATTACGAATATTATTTTATATTATTTATTTTCCATTGAAATAAAAAATTATAAAAACTTGTATCCTGTTATTTTATTTCATTTTGTTAAATTAATGAATACATAAATGGGGAATTTTAAAAACTTCTTATAGTGATCCTGATATCTGTAACATATTCTGTGACAGAATTGGTATCTTAGTGAAACCAGAGACGAGCATTAAATGAGTTGATGAGATGTAAGACGTATTGGCAGTGAATATTTGACAAGATATTGATCATAATATTACGTATGCTGCTAAAATTGTGATAAACTGGAAATGCGCATCGGGTGATATAGTTATGTGATAAGCTCTAACTTCGTCAGAATGCAGTTCGAAAATAATAATGACAGTCTTTGTTTAAAAGCGAGATAAGGAGAGCTATTATTGCAGCGCAACCCCAACACACCTGGCCGCAATGGTGCCCAAGCTATTGAAACAAAAATACTGAAATACCCTATACATATTACTCTTATTGTATTTCGGTGAAATACAACGATTTTTCATTGGAAAATTCGAAATTTCGAGATTTTAAATATATATATGATGGGCAACTTAATATGATTTTTAAGCACGATAAATGAGTCATCAAGTTAGAATTAGAGTGCATTTGTATGTATTAGATGTGTAACAGAAGTTTCCGAAACAAAATGAGTTGGTGTCGATTGACTACCTCATGACAGTTATATTGAGTATTATACCGTATTACATAATTAGAAAATCTCCACATACACATTTCGTACAATAAAAAGTATACAAATATAATAACATTTAGGTCCCTTCTATTGATGGTTATCAAAAATATTTGAATTGATCGATTGCATTCCACGACATAATATTATGACATTGAATTTCATAATCGCAAACAGGTGGTAAACTATCATAATACAGGTTTGTCGATTTTGTGAAAGTTTATGCCACTTTGGTACTCTTTATCCAAAGGTTATAATAGCACATAAAATAATCAAATTCTGTAGGTTAGCACTAACTAGTCACACATTGGTACATTGCGGCAATCCCTGCTAATCCACGTTCTTTTTATGATATATGTATCGCTTTCGCTGCCACGGGCCACTATAGTGGCCCAAGCAGCTGACCCCTTTCCTGCACAATATCTCGACGTTGGATGGATCAATTTTAACAATATTCACATCGACAGAAACTGCAATCAATTGCCTTGCTAACTGACAAATAAAAATACATAATTGCTAATTGAAAATGAGCATTGGAGCAAATCAGCACTGGAGAATTTTACAAAAAACTATTTTATCACCGGCAAAAACTTTTGCGGACTCAAGGTGCGTTTATTGCAACCGTACTTTGTGTGAAGAAGCGATATAACCAAACACAACAGAATTTCAAAATCGGAAATTTGCCGCAATTACGCGTTCGTTAAAAGAGCCAACTTTTTCAGTGTATATTTGACTTTTCTGTCGCACAATATTCAATCCATGACAACGACGAGAATTTAAAATGTCTTTCTATTTTAATTTAATTGTGTTCTTGGTAACTCGCGGTTGCGTCGACTTACGACAAGATGAAAGCATTACTTCTTTAGAATGCCACGGCAATCTGCGAACATAATAATGTGGGAATATATTGCCCGATTATATTTAGTTTTGATACATATTTTTTTGCGATCTTGCGAATTTGTTATCGCCGTAAGAAAATTCCTACTATCTGCTATAAATTTCCAGGAAGTACAACTAGATTTAGAATTTAATAAAAATATATTTAAAGTATATTAGTAAATCAACAATACATATTCATCGCTTTGTTATTAATTTGATTGTGATCATTTTAATCTGCAATTGTCTGTTGACGAAATAAAAGCAATACTACTCAAAATTTTTTTATTTATTTTTCTTCATTTATCTTTTTAATCGAGCCTTAGAGAAAACGAGTAATCCGTTCATTAGATATCTCTGAAAAAAATAAGAACTTTCATATGTTGGGGTTATTTTGTGGCTGAAACGGTTTTAAAAATATAGTCATTTGAAAGCATGACTCTCAAACTTCGGGAAAATGTCAAATATGGCTTGGCAGCGAAAGCGATATAATATTTAAAGACAATGGTCATTTTTCGATGAACCGAATTATATTTTATTGCGAAACGTTGCATTTAACATTGTTTTTTACAGCATTTGATTCTTACAAAATTATTCTTACTTTTTCAAAGTTTTCAATAAAGTGCGTACTCTTCAGGTGTGAGTCAGGTTGAAGATTTATGTAATCTTAACGAGCCGATTTATTTTTTCTTGTTATAAAAATTTTACTAAAAGTGGTAATCATGCCTCTAGTGTTGATGCATTTTGAATTTTAACTTTATAAACAATCGAATTTCTATCATTTAGAGTAGACATACGAGCGGTGATGGAAATTAAGATAATAATGTTGTGAAAATCTTCGCCATGTATATATCAGTCACCTGCATAATATGATGCTGGCAGTTTTAATGAGGCTGCTCTCTTTTTTATGATACGCGCCAAAAACTCAAGCGAAGAAAACTTTGCAATGGGCAATCATGCATATCGTAATCTACTTTACGCTTTGTCGCCAAATAGCGGTTGAAAACATCTTCTTTAGTTCGTTACTAATTCCTTATGATCATATGGTAAAGACATTAGTTCCGAGCTTTCTACAGCAAAGAAGTCGGACTCCAACGTAGCATCCCATGTTTTATGTTCCATGGTTGGAGGATTCCCAACAACATGGAAGCAACTGATAGGTCAGTAGAAAAATATTGGAATAAAAAGAGATTTTGTTAAAAAAAATTAGGCATAGTTGATAGGATTTAATATAAATTTACTAATTGAGTGTATTTGATAAAATAACGATTCACTATTTCAGCATATTTTCATTGAGGAAGGCCGTTGAGGAGATTGAGGAAGGCCAAATACGTCTGGACCCTAAGGGAGCGCCTTTGAGGCGTTTGCCTATCTAATTCCGCTTCCAAACGTTGTCTTGAGGTATTCTCGTACTACTCGGAGTGGTTACCAAAGTTTTCTGATGCGATTAGAGCATCAGCGAAAACTTTCCTCTTCAAGGACCAGATAATTCATGCGTTCCAAGAATTGACTCATAGAATCTGCTGTTGTTATAGCCGTGTATGAGACTTTATCTTTAAGTAGAATCAGATGCCTCTGACGTGACACTGGCTGCAATTTTAAACCAGAGTGAAAGTGGTTTCTTTTTCTCACATGCTACAAGGTCCAGAACTAAACACCCGTCAGTAGAGAAGGAAGCAAAGCCATCATCGAAACTGTTCGTCAATGGCGGCATTATCTCCCTTGTAAACACTTCACTCTAATAACAAACGTGAGATCTGTATCATTTATGTTCAATCAAAACCCTAGAACAAAGATCAAAAATGATAATGTCACGCGATGGCGACCAGAACTCTTCTCTGCTATAGTTTCGACATTCGTTGTCGTCGAGGGCAAGAAAATATTGCGTTCAGTTGTACACGATCCGGGAAATAATATTTTGTATAAATTACATGACGCTCTGTGCCACCCAGGAATTACGAGAATGTTTCACTTTATTGGAGTCAGTAGTATTCGACTTCCATATTCGATGGATGTCATTCGGAGAGTAATTTCCACATGTCCTGTTTGTTGTGAATGCAAGTCCCAATTTCATAAACCTGACATCTTATCAAAGCTACACGGGCATTTGAACGTTTCAATATAAACTTTAAGACCTCTACCGCCAACCAATCCGTTCGCATTCCCGTGTTCCGATGTTTCCACAGCAAGTGTCATTAATTAAACCCCCCTTGCAACTACTAATCACATTTGGAATGCGGGCATTTATACATTCAGACAGATGTTCAGAATTTATGAAGTAAGAACTTTTCTCAATGACAAAGCTATGGCACCATATAATACACCATATAATCCGGCATGAAATGAGCCGGTTGAAGTATTTAATGGGATCTTATGGAATGGGTTGAATGCCGGATTTAGAAATAAACTGATAAAATCGAGAAAATTAATTTTGAAAATATGATTCACCACCCGCGTACCCGTTTTACTTATACAGTTGTAGTCCAGCGGTGATTGTCGCAGCGTGTTTAAAATCAAGCGGCAATAATTGATGTGCTGTGGTGTGTTGTTGCTTCACTCGACTTTACTTCTGAGTTCTGACCCGCTTGCCGCTAGCGTCAGCGATTCGCTACATATTTGTTTTTTCTTATTCAGTTAGTAATATTTACTTGTGTTGTATTTCACTTCAGATTCGTTCTAAATGTGCTTTAGAAAGTTTAGATTAAAGCCGATCCCAATTTCTATCAAATCGCCACACTTTCAATTCAATACCGAGAAAAACCCATCATACTCACTAGATTCCATCCCAGTATGTTCCCCAGCTTTTTATTTTAGGGGGGGTGTTTCGAAATTTAGGGGGGGTGGTAAATAATTTACTATTAGAGACTAGGTTATTTGTATTCTTAAAAAAATGGTATATATGTATTTAAGAAACGATGTACATGAGGGGCTCCCCAAGTTGATTGACGGCGAGCCAAAATCCACAGCAGAATAAAATTGTAGGGCCAGAAAAGGGGAGCGAGGAAAAGTGCGGGACGACACGGCTGGGGTTCAGGGCGCGCTTAAGCGCCCTGAGAAAATTTTTTGAGAAATAGGCACCAAAATAGGCTCTAAGCTTGATTTTAGATACACCTAGCATCGCGGTTTGTTATGTAATAAAATCAATAATTATAATATTTAGCTGATAGAATTCCCGGGAAATAGATAACAAGCACGACTTTCAACCGTAAATATATATATACTACTACGTTTCAACAAGTAATTTGCAACTGATAGTGACTAATGAAGTTACTTGCTCATCTGGCATTGTATGAATGGCTACTTATGGGCTTGTTTTGTTACACATTTCACATTTTTTTTGAACATGTGTGTTTGACTTTTGTATGAATTAAATTTTAAAATAC